AACGGACGGAACGTAATCATATGCAACTCAAGACGGACGTGTGCATCTCCCTCAAAGCCCACGACGACTTCTCGCGACGACGACGACCACCACCACCACCACCACTACCACCACTAATGAATACCGCGAGTACTGCATTGCTCCGAGTTCGCCACGAATACACACATCTTCCCTGACGTCCTCGTTCGACTCATAACATCCGCCATCTCCTCCTCCCTCCATCCCTTTCCTCCCGCACCCTCCTCTGGTCCTGCCGCAGCGTCTTCGCCATGCACGCTATTCAGCAGAAATGCCGTCCCAAGCACCAGGTCCTAGTTCTCAAGTGCTACCCTCGCACGACCAAGGGCGCCGTCGACGTGAAGCCCAACTCGAGCGAGCTCAGTTACCTTCTCTTCTATGCCACTTCGCGACGCTCCAAGATACAGAAGATTGGTAGCTTTCTTGAGAAGAAGACTGCCTCGGATGTCTGGCGATTACGAATTGGGTATGCTTCCTTGTCCTTGTCCATGCTTCGGTTCTTTTTTATTTTATTTTATTTTATTTTCTTTCCCCCCCCCCCTTCTCTTCAGTCTCGCGTCCCATTCTTCGTACCTACAGATATGCTAATTTTTGTTTTCGAACGTCACAGGAATGTCCAAGTTACCCTCCAGATCCTCGCCGCCCTCATAGAGAAGGCCCCCAAAGATCTCCCCCTTTTTGCGACCCATGTCCTCAAGATACTCGATCTCGTTCTAGACTCCAAGGACATCACCATGGCCCAGTCCTCCATCCCAACCTTTGAAGCCTTCTGCGCCAACCACGACGTCTCCTCGTCCTTCGCCGATCAGGACTACCTCACCCAATACGAGTCGGTTGTCCGTCATTACGCCACCCTCGCCTCCACTCGACATGTCCCCGCCAGGGACACCGTCAGCAAACCCGTCCAGACGAGGTGGAGGATGGTTGGTCTCGAGGCCATCAAGAGCGTGTCTTCGGCAGACCCGCTCGCCTCGGTCGCCGGCCGCCAGCTCAGCGTCATCGTCCCCATGATTCTCGAGAACCTCTGGTGGGAGGACGACGAGTTCCTGCCCGTGTTGCTCTCGCGAGCCGAAATGAACGAGAAGGTCGACCCCGACACCGGCTTGCACCGCCGTAAGATGAGTGCTGCCACCACTGTCCGTACCGCCGACCCCCAGGCCGCCGACCCCAACCCCAACCCTCTCGCTCTGGCCGGGACCGCCCTGGATGTCGACAAGTTGGACGAGGAGGGCGTCGGCGTTCTGGCGCTTCGGGGTCTGAAGCAGATCTTCGTCGTGCCGAACCAGCCGCAGATCCACGCCGCCACCCTGGCCATGCTCAGGTTCATCCAGGAACGCGTGGCCCAGGGAGAGACCGTGGTGAAGAGAGATCCCAAGACCGACAAGGACGCCGGCTGGGCCATCACCCTGTTCGCCATGGTGGCCCACTGGGCCCCCGTGCAGGACCGTTATGTCATTCTCGTCACGGCAATGGACCACCTCCTGGGCACTCCCGTGACCGAAGGAAACCTGCAGCAGCACATGGTCCTGGCCGCCATGATCAGCTCGCTCCTCCGATCCGACGTCAACCTGATCGGCCTGAGCGTCATGGATGTCCTCCTGGGTTTCATCCAGCACATCAAGAGGGTTCTGCAGCTTCCCGGCGGCGTCGTCCCCACCGAGCTTCTCGACCTCCTTCAGCGGTGCATTGGCCATCTTGCCACCCACGTCTACTACGCCGATCAGATTTCCGACATGATCTCCGCCATCCTTTTCCGTCTTCGTCCCTCCCGATCCTCCAGCAGCAGCGCCAATTCTTCCCCTCGCGGAGAAAAGGCGGACGCGACCCAGAACGACGATGCCACTACCACTGCTGCCGCCAACGCCGCCGTGAGCAGCCCTCATGCGAACCTCGACACGTATCTGACCCTCAGCCTCGGCAAGACGACCGCTCTCAAGGCCATCAAATCCATCTTGCTCGTGGCCAACCCCCAGACCAGGATCTCGGGCAACGTCAACCTGACCCGGAATCGTGTCCCCATCACCGTTTGGGAGGGGACGCACTGGCTGCTGCGGGATCCCGACGGCCAAGTGCGGAAGGCGTACGTCGACGCGCTGCTCACCTGGCTCGACCGGCAAACTACCGAGGCCGACCTGAGAGTGAGGAGGGACAAGACCTCGCAGCCGTGGTCAGCACATCCCCGGTCGCCGGCCAAGGCCCTCCGAGAGGGCCTGCTGCAGCAACAGCAACAACAGCAGCCGCCCAGCCCCCCCGGGCGCAGGATCGCCTCGAACGCTTCCCAGCAGGAGAGGTCGATGCAGCGGTCTCGGTCTCACTTCCTCCAGCTTCTGCACCTGTGTGCCTACGACAACGCGCTCCAGTACGTCGATTCCGAGCCTGACTTGGTTCTCCTGCACGTCCTCCTGGCGAAACTCGCCGCCCAGCTCGGCGTTAACGCCGTCCGCCACGGGCTGCCGATGATTTTCCGCCTGCAGGAGGACATCCAGGAGGTGGAGACGCCGCTGCAAAAGGTTCGAATCGGCTCTCTCTGCCACGGCTATTTCTGGGCCATCATCGAGCGTTTCGATATCGAGGCCTCCGTGGCGGGGCGAGCCATTCAGAACGAGATCATCCGGAGGCGGAGCAAGAATTTCTGGGTCGAGGGCGTACGGCTGCCTCTCCCGGCCCTGAACCTCATCAACGGACTGGGTAGCCCGGGGTCTCCGTCTCCGTCTCGGCCTCAGGCCCAATCTCAGCTACCCGTAGACGAGCTCGAGACCGAGGCCCTGCTGCCGTTTGACGACAGGATATCGCTGGTGGAGTGCATCGCCGCGAGCTACGCCGAGAGCGCCGCCTCGCCTCCGATCAGTCCGGCCGCGTCCCCGGGGCGGTCCTTCAGCCACCCCATACTGAGCCCGCCACTGGCCTCCGTGTCTGCCGAGCGGCGAGAGGACAGGGAGCTGCCGGATTCGGTCCGCGAGCTGATGCTGTCGGAATGGACTAGGGATGCCGCGATCCTCGCCATCCAATCGGCGAGCAAGTCGGAATCCCTTGCGGGTTCCCGCACGACGGCGACCGGGCGCAACCGAGCCGGCGTCAACGGAGGGGGTGTGGCTGGGAATGGGCACGCAATGGCAATGGCCCCTTCGCCACTGGGGAGCCAGCAGAACCTGCAGGGCGCATTGGCGACTTTCCACAAGACACGTCAGGCCAGCCTCCGCAGCGGGGGGTCCGCGTCCCTGTCGGCTTCGAGTCGCGGCCCCGTGGCCTCGGTGGAGCAGTTGAAGATGGTCCTCTCTGGACAGCTACCTCGCACTGCAGCCGGGAACACAGCGATAGGAATCGGGCGGCGATCTGGACATGGGGACGACGGCAGCGATAGCGGCAGTGATAGCATGGTTAGCTTTGAGTACTCGCCGTCGGAGCTCAGTTACAACAACAACAACAACAACAACAACAACAACAACAACAACAACAACAACAACAACAACAACAACAACGCCAACAACGCCACCGCCCCGGGGGCAGCTTCCCCGCGACCCGAGAACGGCGGCGGCGACGAAGCACAACTTCAGAATCAGCACCTGCGGCGAACCCTGTCGCACGGTCGAAAGGGCGGCCCCCTCAGCTCCAACCCTGCTGTTGCTGCTGCGTACGACGAGTTCCCCCCGTCCCCGCGTGGGAACGGCCTCGAGGCCGTGCCGCCCGTGCCACCGTTGCCGTTGGACATGAGCACCCTATCGGGCAAGGTGGGCGGTGAGACTATGCACCTGGGACGCCCGGCCACGGCACCCCACGGTCTCAAACCGGCGAGGAGGAACCTCAGCAGCCGCAGCGCTGATGGCAGGTTCCGAGCCCCGTTGCAGGATGAATCATCGCCTGAGACGATGGACTTGCGGGATCTCCTACTGGGTATTGACAGCGGAGCGGGCGAGCAGAGCCTGGGTAATGTGACGAGACCGCCGTATTAATGGAGTGATACGGGCGAGCGGGCGGGCGGAATGGTTACCTGTGTTACCTGTATTACTGGGGAGTTTTGAAATGGGGGAAGCGAGATATTTGAAAGGATTTCACCGTAACCATCTAGAGGTATGGTAAGGAAATTTTTGAAAGAGGAGGGTCAGCGGGTTGAAGAATGCTGCTCGGTCCAACTCTTTCTGTACCAACATCACTATTATCATCGTGGGTCCTCCTGGACTGAACGAAGCGGGGTGTTTTCATGTCTCTTTGGGGGATGGGGGACTATTGGAAAAAGCTGGATAATATAAAACGAGCGAAATATATTCTATTCACACGAATAGTCACTTGTCTGCGTGCTTTCTGCTTTTATTGTGGTAATAGGTAACACGATGCTTAGTAGCCCGTAGAGATATCGGTTCGGTGTGACGCTTCACCGAGCTCGGTGAAAAGAAAACGGAAGTACTTTGTACCTCGAGGTGCTACAGGTACCTTATGTGGGTACCTGGTTTATCTCATATCCACCAATCAGAACTCCCGTCTCGTCCCAAAATGAAGTCTCCCAAGTCGTGATAATTCTTCGGTAGATTTTTACTAACTTAAGCTATTACCTACCCATTACAACCTCCTACCAGGCTTTAAGCGGTGCCATCCCTCCCATTAGCCTGTTTCTCTGCCTCTCCTCTCGTCCATACCAATTCGAAAATGAAGCCACCAACCCGGATAAACCTCGCGTTTCCTATACCCATCACCCCAAGGACAACAAGGCCAGTGGCAATAGCGGCCCTCGCATTCCCACACCGGGTAGCAGCAGCACCACAGATCCCGACCAATATCCGCCTCATCTCGTCGACGGCGGTCTTCAAACACGCCGACGTAGCACCCATAGTTGGCACAGGCCCGCCGCCGGAGCCCCCGCGGCCCTCGGCCGAGTTCGCCAAGCACGCGGGTCCCAGGAACGCCGACGATGTGGCGGCGCGGATTGCGCGGAGACGGAAGCAGGCAGAGGTGCTAAAAGCTGCGAAGGAGGTGAAAACCTCTGCGGGGGTGAAGAACGGGGGGGCAAAGAGGCGGTTCTGGAAGCATGTGTCTGTTCAGGAGGTTGATGGTATGTTTCTCTTTTTTTTTTTTTCCTTTCTTTTCCTTTTTTTTCCTTTTTTTTCCCCCTCAACCCCCCCCCCTTCTCTCTCTTGGGAATCCTAATTCACTAACAAACCGCTGCTCCAACCCGCCAGGCACCCTCCAAATCCACCTCGACAGCCGCAGCCTCCGCCACCCGACAACAAAGGAAATCATCCGCCTCCCATCAAGCAAGCCGCACCTCGCCACCGCCCTAGCCCTGGAATGGGACAACATCGCCTCCACCCAGCAGGCCACGAAGCAGCACCTCACCCCGCTGACCTCCCTGGTCTGCCGCGCCATCGACATTGCCCAGGACGACGACGCCGAGGGCCTGATCCGCCCCCAGATCGTCACCACCGTCATGCGCTACCTCGACACCGACTCGCTCCTCTGCTGGGCGCCCCCCGCCCTCGAAACTGACCACCGCAACGACGCCGGCGAGTCGCTGCGCGAAGTCCAGGAACGCACCGCCGCCGACATCGTCTCCTACCTGACCACCCACGTCTGGCCCGGCCTCCGCTTCCACTCCGTCCTGGACGAAGGCTCCATCATGCCCCGCCACCAGGAGGACGGTGTGCGCGACGTCGTCCAGGGCTGGGTCGCCACCCTGCACCCCTGGGAGCTCGCCGGCCTGGAGAGGGCCGCGTTGGCGGGCAAGAGTCTGCTGGCGGCCACGCGCCTGGTGGTCGAGTGGAGCGAGCACGCCCCTGCTGGCGGTTTGCGGCCTGCTACCCCTGCCCAAGACCGGCAGTCGACCGACAACGCCGTCTTCGGTGTCGAGGAGGCCGCGCGGGCGACCAGCGTCGAGGTCGCTTGGCAGACCGACCGCTGGGGGGAGGTAGAAGATACGCATGATGTCGAGAAGGAGGACTTGAGGAGGCAGTTGGGGAGTGCAGTGCTGCTCGTCTCTGGTATGGGGAGACGGTAAGCTCTGACTCAGCTCTTCCGAGCGGGAGTACTGGCTGTATGATACCGATGTGTATATATACACTGCTGTCATCTTTTAGCACCTACCTCAATCCGACAAACTTGGTCGGGCGCAATGTACAATCCTCACATGAACTTCGTTCCTAACAACCCTTTGGTCCAGAAACGGAGATATGCCATCTACAATTGACACATCTGACGAGTAACTGCGAGGCAAATCGATCGTCCCGTCCCGGTCTAGTTCCCTCAACCGTGGCCCATCACCTGCGTCGCTCTCTCTTAACCTCTCCCAATAATTCTGTAAAACCCCAGGCAGAAACACAATGCATAGTCAGCACCCTTACGTGGTCGCAGAACCAGGTCAAAAACAGACCATCCATCTAAACTCCCGAAATTCCCACGCACTTTGAAACTCTCAAGTTCCGAGTCCACCAAAGTCCGGAGAGGTCAAATATTCCCAGATGCCCAGAGAATCCCGCGCTGCCATACATAGCCGTGCGTACACATATGGTCATCTGATAATCCCGCATCTTCGAGGAGTTCCGGATGCTGTTTAGGAAGCGGCGACTTAAATCTGGTTTTATATCATCCGGAGGTCAGCGCCCAGGAGATGGGGTCAACAAGCAAATAGAGCGTCACATATGAAGGCAAGTCGAGAATGAATGGCCTCACAAGCCATCATATTGCCAGCCGTGGGCTCGCTCGGGAAGGTTGCCTTTTCTTATAGCTTCGAGCCGCGTGTGCTCATCGAGGGTGTCGAGAACAATATTTCGACTGGTCATGGCAAAGCGCCGCATGCCAGCAGGGTCTACCTTGTGCTGTTGTTACTCGTGGTCAGTTCTGTTCCCATACGTCAAGACTGAATGGCGGATGCTTTTCTGACATGCCTCGTAGAACTGGTGGATGTCAGTCCCATGCATCACCACCATGTCCCCATGGTATATGGGGAACCTGAGCACTTCCCGCTGATCGCTATTATGCTTCTTCTTGATGCGGAAGGCCATCAGAGCGGGGCTTCCGAGAGAGAGCGTGGCCACTGTCGGGCCCAGGGTGTCCTCTCCATCGTCGTGATACTGTGTAGTGCACGAGTTAGATTCATATGGGGCATTCTAAGATGGGACCATGCTGAGAAGGTAATCTTACGCCAATACGGTCTCCCTCCATATACCCCAGAGAGAGGAGCTCATTGAACTCGACAAAGTCGGTAGCAAGAGACTCGGAAGGCGTGAGAGCAGCAGCCTCAGCTGTACCAAAGACTTGCGTGGTGCATCTGACCGATTCTCGACCGGCCCAGCGAAGGCGCATGAGCGCCTTGAGAATAGCATCTGGTGCCTCTTCGAAGCTCTTTGATAGAACATTGACGACGAATTTGTAAGGAGCACCCCAGTTTTGCTGAAAGTGGCGCGTCAGCACTTCGCTTTTATCTATGATCATGTCAGTCACAGTCAGCGGACTATCTTTCGTGGTATCCTGCCTACTCGGGCAGGACTCTGAGTCTCCGACTTACGACCGGCAAGTCTGACTGGATTCCGCTGCAGACCGAATCCTTGGTTGGAAGCGAGTTGAATCTCATTCCAGAGGCTGTTTGGTCCCTCGTCGCGAGCATTGGTGACGGCAGTTGCCCGGAAGACATGAACCGACCCGATGACCTTTAATGCGTCCTTGATATCAGCTAGGAGGAACTGGTATGCGCTGTACGCCCCAATTGTCAGCCGCGAAGCCACGACATGCTCGCCTACTCTGCTTTGCTTGAGGCATTTGCGCGCATTGAATTCCCAATTTTCCTTTTCGACGCGACAGAGAGGGTAAGGGGGTGGAGGCGCGATCAAGACGAAGGGACAGCCCGGAGTTTCGTAGACCCAACGGTCCCAATTCCTTCGTCGAGAGCACCCAAAGCATTTGGGGCAGACAATTCCACAGCGGAACTCGATCTCGGTGCCACAAGAGTTCTCCCAGAGCACAGGAAGGGCTGGTCGAAGGGCTTCATGAGGAGGGACGAAGGCGGTACGCTCGTTGATGAAGACTGCTGAATATACCAGCTTGTTGGTGTCCATTTCTGGTTGAAATTGAAAAGCCCGCGTACAATTCTTGTGGAGACACGTCCAGATGTCGCCGTCGAAGATAGTCTTGCTCGGTTGCTTGCATTCAACGCACCATGCCCAGACAGCCGCACAGTCGGCGGAGTAGGACAAGTCCGACAGAATGGACCCCGACTCCAAAACAAAGTGATGCTCACACTTCCCATTGAGACAGGTCCAGCCTTGCGCAAATGGTTGACCAAAAGAGTCCTCGCAGTACCGACATTGGATACGTCCAGCAGGAAACATTCGTGAAGGTAGATCGACTGTTTCGCTCTGTGTAGGTGCGGAAACTGGCTGCCACCATGGCTTGGCTATACGATTAGTTCTCTCCAAGCGAACTTTATGGATAAAGACACCATTTCGGGATTCACGTTCAACCCAGAGATCCGTCACATTGAACCAGTCAAGCACGTTGTAAGCGTGTGGCGCTTGCACTGGCAGGAGAGGGTAGTTCCGACCTGTTCACCTTTGTTAGTCTTGGACCTTGGTGCTAGAGAAGAGGAAATGAACCAAGAACTTACCAACAATAACGGCGATGGGGATGTCCTCTTTCCAGGCTTTGAGAATAGAATTTAAGGCTGGCCTACGACACTCACGAACACGTTCCATGTCTCCATCGGCCGTTCTTGCTCGGCCTCCGCCGCTGATTTTAGTCTCATGGTTAAAAGTGGAGGCCAGCATGACAAGGGGACGTCGGAGCCATTGCTTACAGGCTGGTGATGACAATGTCTGTGTTCATCATGTCCCGATAGGTGAATTCCCCATCAATCAGGAAGCCTTTGGGAATGAGCTGCTTGGAATAGAGGCTACCTTGGTGCATCTTGAAGTAGGGCAGGGCATCACAGAGACTCTGCCGCTTTTCTGCCCAGACCACAGGACAGTGCACTGGAAGTAGCTTAACATCTCCTTCCATGGTGACAGAGGTGTTAGCTTCACTGTCTGAGGTCATTATAACGTCTTGTTATCTGTTGATGGGTCAAGGAGGTCCTTTATGGCGAGAGAGGAGAAAGGTGTTGATATGGTCCTTGGGCTAAGGTCGCATGAGAGAGATGGACATGGCCATATATTTGTTCTGCAAAATAGGAGAGATAGAGTATAGATTGTGCGCGCTTGTTTAGAATAGGAAGAAAGAGAATCGTGAAAACTGTGAATATGCTGTAATGGTGACTAGGAGAGACTGGTCTAGGGCTTTGATGTTAATAGAAGAATGAGAGGAAAAGGAGAGGAAAAAAATCGATGTAAGCCATACCTGGAAGGAAGCGGGATTTCCTAGGCCCAGGACTGAAGATGCTGTCTGTGAGGCCCAGATATTATCACGAGAGAGAAGAGAGAGAGAAGACAGGAGGGGGGGGGGGACAAGGTCATTAGCATAATGCATTCTATGACATAACCTATGTGAATATGTACCTTGGGAAACAATGTCCGATTTGGGCCAGATTTCTTTAGGAAGGACTGATGGCGGAGGGATAGTGGGAAGGAGAGAGGAGGGAGGAAGTAGCGTACTCTCTAAGATACGGGTCGCTCCTACCCTTTCCCTGACCTACATCCGTTTGAGGCTGCTAGGCATAGTAAGGAAGAACAATAGAAAAGCTATCTATCCAGTAAGACCTTAAGAAGGAATTATTTCTATAGATTAAAATCAATTCAAGTCCCCGTATAGTAAGGTAGGCAATATCGTAGACTGTTAAAAGAACCAAGGTGTTATTTTATACGGTTATCCTATAAACATGTTCCCCGGCGGCAACATAATAGTATAACTTAGCAAGTCTTGCCAATAACCAAGGTAAAAGAGTTATATAAGTGATAGGGCAGTGTCTAAAGCAGCCCTTAGCTGTTATTAAGGGATTGTCGATTCCTCATCGGTAGAAGAACACTGGCCAGTTCCTTGAATTATATCAAGTAAGAAAATTGCATTGCTTGTACCTGTTTCAAGGTCCCTAAGCATATGTAGTTTATATTTGCTTTATCTGGGTTGTGCATGTGTTGAGTGAAGGACAACAAACATAACATTAATATGTTAGTCACTAGCAGCCATTCAGAGATTTATGAGCCGATTTGCCTCGTTTTGTGTTCTGAACAACAGCCATCAGACCTCAAGATCAGCAATGGCAACAATATTCCGAGTTCCGTTCTCAATCATTCGAAACCAGGTAATCCAGTTCTTACGGAGTATAAGAGGTGAGAACACACTTGTTTACCCCAGGAAGTAGAAGTCCGAACCGCGCACTAAATACTCCGTACTGTACGCCACTCCACTTTATTAGCGGACCCCAGCTCCCCTGCCTCCCCATGCGTCACTCTGAATTGGGGCTCCGCAACTCGCTACCTTATAATAGCGCCATACATATGTACTGTACAGTACGTACCAACCATAGCGTCCGAGTCGGCATGTCAACCAATCGTCGTACCCGGCTTGATATTCTGGCGATTCTCGGGTATTCGAGACGGGAAGCTAAGGTTGCTATCGAACTGGGAGAGCAGGAGTTTCAGTTTGAACAGGAGCAGTTCCCCGTTCCCCTCATCCGCAGCTATCAATTCCGCTCATTTTGTTCACGGTTACCGACTCCTAAACCTCTACAGATCTCAGGACCGATTCAATTCCTTGCTTTCCTCGTTTCTCGCAGAGGACGTACCATGTTAGATGCCTACAGCCACCTTATCGGGGTGTGACTTACGCCATTTCTGTAGACGGATAGGGTACTTCCGACCGATATATCTATATTAATTTCCCCTCCTTTTACTTTATAGTTAGATATTTCCGCAGAGTATCTTTTCCTCTTCTTTAATGCATATATATATCTTTTGCGTACCTTATTTTATATACTAATAGTTATAAGCCCGGCGTTCTAATAAACGAAGCTATTCCGATAGATCCTGCAGCTTTAAGGCAGTTAAAATAGCCTTAAGTCTATAGCGGTTAGCTTAGTATTATTAGCTATGTCCGCCTGCTTTATTTTAACCGTTATTCCGTTATTCCCTTTTATTTAAATCGCTTAACTCACTTAAGTCCTATATCGTTCTATCGCTCCTCGTTTAATCGGTCTATTATAGTCGGTTTCGATAGTTTATTTCCCTATAGTCTTAGTTTGTTAGACGATAGCCTTAACTACGGCGTTACCCACGATAGGCTATACGATCCTCACCTCACTAAAAGAATAGCGTCGTTAGATCGAGGCTATTATACAGATAGCCTATGCTAACTAGGTCTCTAACCTTATTAATCCAGACCTTAAGGAATCTAAACGTCCTTAAAAGCTCGAATCCTCGGAATCTCTAAAGCTAGAAGAAGGTGACGAAGATAATGCCTAGGATCGTAAGTTTAAGCTATAGAACGTAAAAGAGAATAAATATCAGTAATAGTAATATAGTTTAGCTACTCTTCACGACTATATCGCGAAGACAGTTAATCCTAACCTTAAAGATTAGTACGCGGTGAAGAAGGAGGTTAAAGATATCCTGATCGCCTTAAAGGACTATCTTAAACCTACTAACGCTGCCTAGAAGTCCTTAGTTAAGAAGAGATAGGAAGAATATATATAGAATATACGGAAGATACCCTATAAGCGTTAGCTTTAGGACTTTATATCGCTATACCAAGATTCGAAGACCTATAGCATTAGATCTTCTGATACTATAGAGGATTAACTTAACGTGTTTTTCAGGGCTATCGGTACTATAGCTCTAGAGTGGTTAGAGGCGCGCTTTATAGAGATTTTAAGGGAAGATAAGGAAGACTAACCTACTATCGAAGAGATTATAAACGAATATACGGTTTAGTTACGCTATAGGTATCCCTATAGGCTTAATAAGAAGCCTATAACGTTATTATTCTATACGGCGATATTCCTAGGAAAGGATAAAGATAGCAGATAGTAGCCTATTAATTACGGAGGTTAGCAGTAATAAGAAAAGGAGGGTTTTTTAGTACCTAGAGAATATATCTGCGATTACGTTAAGATAGGAAGAGCTAAACGCCACTACTACCCGTGGAGTGGCTGCCCGAACGTTAATCCGACACGCCGCTAAAAGGGCTTTACGCCCTCGAAGGAGGTAGTAGAACGCTACGACCGCGTTATTAAAGGCTAGAATACTTCTAAGCAAAAGAAGTTCAGGGAGTATATTAAAAAGGATATCGATAAGGCTGAAAATAAGGTAAAAGAGTCTAAAGCTAAGTTACTAGAGAAAGATTAGTCTAAGGAAGTATCTAATTTCGTTAATAATAAGGAAGAGAATTCTAACGATAGCTTTTACGATATATATTTTACCTCTAATTTCGTGGGAAAAGAGGTGGTATCGTCGACCTCGCCGTCGGTTTTCTCGATCCTATAGACTAAATAGGTGGTTAGTAACGACCTATTCAATTAGTTATCAATCGATTCGGGGTCCCTAAGGCATATAACTAATTAACGCTACCTACTCGAGGACTTCTAGCCTACTACTACTATCGTTAGATTTTAGATAGGTGGCGGCACCTTTAATCCAGTAAAGGGGTATAGCACCCTACGTCTTTAGGTTAAAGATATAAAAGGACGTCTTTATACCCTTATACTAAATAGTGTGGCGTTTATAGATAGATATCCTATAACGCTACTAGCGACGCGTAGGTTACAAAAGAATTAGAACGTTGTTTTTATAACCGGCAGAGATATCTTAGTAATAGACCGATATACCTGCCTACCGTTAATTAACGTTAACGGCCAATATACTCTTAAACCTACTAAGGGCACGCTATAACGCTTAATATACCTGTCCGGCATATCTTCTAGCCAGCTAGTACTATTAGATCTAGGGCTTCTAGGGTTTAAAAGGGCGACCTTTACTCTAGTATATAAGGGCAGAATAAAGATATCTTCTCTAAACTAAAAGGGAACCGCGCCGAGGATATATCCCTCGGCCGGTTCGGCCTAACTATAATCCGTATTACTAATCCTATGCTATACGTATAGATAGTTCAGGTGCTATTCGTTCTCTATCTATACGAATAGCGCTAAAGCTATATAATTCCTATCTAAGTAAATAATTCCCGCGCTATCCGTTCTATAGTAGGGCGGATAGTACTAGCATTATTCCTACGGGGCTAGGGAATAGGGCGTATTATATACCCCGGGCGATGAAAGCCCTACGTCCCGCGGGCGTTCCGTGTCGGGATAATAGCGCCGGGCGCGCGAACTATAACATGCCGATATAGGGTTTATTAACCGCACGGTGGCTTACTTAGCAGCTATAGACGCGGGATAGTATTCACGATAAAAAGGAAATAATAGGTATAGTAATATAATATATTACGCCGACTACGCGTTATTACTACTCTATACAGATAATATAAAAAAGGAAAATAAATACACGAATAAGGAGAGTTTAGGAAGTAAATAGGGAAGTAAAACTATAGGTAAAAAACGTAAGGAACTAGAGGGAAATAATAAAAAATAAAAACAGACTATGCTAAACCGTCTAATACACCTATACTATAATACCTAAATCCTATACTATACTTAGAACTAATATAGCTATACACCTAACCCTAATACCTAAACTATATACTAAATCACTAATAACTTATAACGCTCTACTAGCTAACGTCTACTTAAATCTTAGTGACTTCTAGTAGGTACGGATTAGCGTCGGGGAAGCCCTAACACAATACTTCCCGATTCAGGATCTTAGCTATATCATTCTCCGTAAGCTCGGCCTCTTTTACTCCTCTACCGTCTTCTATAAAATCTCGTATAAAACTATAATACCCTTCTTATTATAGGACTTATAATAGCGCGCTATAACTATAGCGCGCCGAATAACTACCTCGGCGAGATTTATATCGTTAATATACCGTTTAGCTAGGTACTCGCGCTTATTGTCGTCTAGAGCACCGAGGGGGTCTAACTTTACGAGGTAAACTAGCTTCTTTATATACTA